ATAAATTCATAGAGATATCAAAGTGAATCACTAACAATCACCATCATTCACTCGGAAAATTCACCAGCAAGGGTGATTTTATGCTGAATCACCTTATTTTAATTTTTTTTATCTATATTCCACAAATAACTTTGATAAAAACAATTTGCATGCTAAACAACACATGATATATCAATTTTTATTAAGTGGTGTTAAATCAAACAAAAGTACTTACATTTATCTTTTGGGGCTGTTAGTAAGAAATGAAAGATAGAGTGTGTATATCTATAAACTTCATTTAAATTGATAAAAATGTAATCAATAAAATATTTTATGTAACTGTAAACAAGTATAGTGGTTTCTTTTGGACAATTTTCATGTTTTGGACATGGGGCAGGGCGAATCATCCTGAAATTATTTTATTCTATGTTATTGAAAAGATTAAAAAACACTAGATTTGCTTATAAATATATGTATGGTTCTTGTTTTTCTTTTAAGTATAATAGACAACAAAAATTAAAATAAAACAAAAAGTTATGTAAGATAGCAATAGACAAATTCCATGGTTGCCATTGGTAACTGTCTATCATATTAGTTATTTGTTTATTGTTGGTAGATCAGGCTGTTGGTTTTATCAATTTACATTGTCATTGTTTTACATTTTGTCATTTCAGGGCCTTAAATAGCTTACTATACAGTATGGATTTTGCACCTTGTTGACCGTATGGTGACCTATAGTTCCTAATAGCTACCTCTTTCAGTCTTTGGTGGATAGTTGTCTCATTGGCAATCATGCCACATCTCCTTATTTCATATTGAGAAGTTGGTTCTTATTTTATTACCTTAAGGTTCATGTGGACCCTTTGACTAAAATGACTGCATTTTTACCTCAAAATTTACTCTGAGTACAGACAAACCTGTGTATCTGGAAAAGTTTTAAGGCAAAGCATGCCCTAGATAAATAAAATTTAAATATATTTTATGTTTTAGAAAATTAAAAACTTAACAGGATTTTGCAGTGCACATTTTTTTCATTTCTCCAGAAGATGCCAAAATAAACTAAGTTGTGAAAGAGGTTTGAGAATTTCCCCACAGATGATAATTGAAGTGCAATATTGATTGATATGGACAATAGATGGACAATAGATACCTGACAATAATTGGTGATTTAAACCTGTACCTGAGTGGACCATATCAAGTGAAACTCAACTGTTTGTTAATTTTATCACCTTCTGCAGGGACGTAAAAAAAAGCACTGCAAAATCCAGTAGAGTTTTAAATTTTCTAAAACATACAATGCATTTGAATTTTATTTATCTAGGGCATGCTATGCTTTAAAACTTTTTCAGATGCACAGGTTTGTCTGTACTCAGAGTAAATTTTGAGGTGAAAACGCAGCCATTTTAGACAAAGGGTCATCATGAACCTCAAGATTTAATTGATTCATTTCTTGTAGTAATTATTTTTTAATAACATATCATTAGAGCAATCAGAAACTATAAACTAGTTTCATATTAATGACTTTTGACTCGGAATTATTTAATTTTTTGACAGGGTACCTACTCTATGGTAGGACATCCTAGTAGGTCAAGTATGTGCAACCAAAAGAAGGTAAATCAAACACAAAATCGGTGCAATTTTAAGGGAAAGTTTACTGCCAATGATTTTGTCACATATAGAAAACATAAAACAGTTAGTTTTCCCCAAAATTGTACCGATTGAAAGCTTGATTTTACTCCTTTACCTTGCTCTTACTTGACCGAGTACCAGGATGTTCTACTACAGAGAAGGTAACCTGTCGAAAAAAAATATAAACTCTGGAGTCAAAAGTTGGTAATATGATAATAGCCTATAATAAAATGCTCCGCAGGGCGCAGCTTGATACGACCGCAGAGGTCGAACCCTGAACAGTTGGGGGAAGTATGGACACAACATTCAAGCTTGATACAGCTTTGCATTTGGATTGTGATTAAATATTTGACACAGCATAGGTTTCTAACACAGAATGAATGTGGTCTAAGAACGTAAAAATTTTAAATTGGACATTCACCTATTATGGTCCAATATCCAAAATCTAAATACATGGTTAGATTCAGCATATCAAAGAACCACAGGAATTCAATTTTTTGATGAAATCAAACAAAGTTTAATTTTGGACCCTTTTGACCTCAATGTGGACAAAGTTGATAACGGGGCCCAAAAATCAAAAATCTAAATACATGGTTAGATTCAGCATATCAAAGAACCCCATATATTCAATTTTTGTTGAAATCAAACAAAGTTTAATTTTGGACCCCGATTTGGACCAACTTGAAAACTGGGCCCATAATCAAAAATCTAAATACATGTTTAGATTCAGCATATCAAAGAACCCTAAGAATTCAATTTTTGTTAAAATCAAACTTAGTTTAATTTTGGACCCTTTGGACCTTAATGTAGATCAATTTGAAAACGGAACCAAAAATTAAGAATCTAAATACACGGTTAGATTCGGCATATCAAAGAACCCCAATAATTCAATTTTTGATGAAATCAAACAAAGTTTAATTTTGGACCCTTTTGACCTCAATGTGGACAAAGTTGATAACGGGGCCCAAAAATCAAAAATCTAAATACATGGTTAGATTCAGCATATCAAAGAACCCCATATATTCAATTTTGTTGAAATCAAACAAAGTTTAATTTTGGACCCCGATTTGGACCAACTTGAAAACTGGGCCCATAATCAAAAATCTAAATACATGTTTAGATTCAGCATATCAAAGAACCCTAAGAATTCAATTTTTGTTAAAATCAAACTAAGTTTAATTTTGGACCCTTTGGACCTTAATGTAGACCAATTTGAAAACGGAACCAAAATTTAAGAATCTAAATACACGGTTAGATTCGGCATATCAAAGAACCCCAAGAATTCAATTTTTGATGAAATCAAACAAAGTTTAATTTTGGACCCTTTGAACCTCAATGTGGACCAATTTAAAAACGGGGCCCAAAATCCAAAAACTAAATACACGGTTAGATTCAGCATATTAAAGAACCCCATGAAATCAAGAATAAAACCCCATTGAAATTGGTCAAGAAATAAGCAATTTATAGGAAGTATCTTCTTTTGCACAATCCTGTGCTATTAAATATTTCTTGCTATTGCGCAATACTGTACAATTGACAATTTCTTGCTATTGCGCAATATTGTGCTATTGGATATTTCTTGCTATTGCGCAATACTGTGCAATTGAAGATTTCTTGCTATTGCGCAATACTGTGCAATTGAAGATTTCTTGCTATTGTGCAATACTGTGCAATTGAAAATTTCTTGCTATTGCACAATACTTATTATATAATAATTTACACATCCTGTTTGGTGTGTATCTCCTACCATATCATTATTATTTGATTTTAAATATAAATCAGAAATAACCAACTTAAAATGGAAAATTTTTAAAAGAAACAAAAAAGGAAAAAAAGAAAAAAAAGGAAAAAAAAATAACCCCCCCCCCCCCAAATTTTTTGAACCCCCTTATGATTCATCACCCCCAAACTCAATCCCAGCCTTCCCTTTGTGGTATGATACCTTGCAGTACAATTTCAGAGAGATCCATACACTTGAACACAAGTTATTGTCTGGAAACTAGAAAAATGTGTTTTTTGGCCTCTTTTTGGCCCCAAATTCCTAAACGTTTAGGGCAATTACCCCCAAACTCAAACCCAGCTTTCCCTTTGTGATATGGAACCTTGTAGTACAATTTCAGAAAGATCCATACACTTACACACAAGTTATTGTCCTGAAACTAGAAAAATGCTTGTTTTTGGCCCCTAATTCCTAAAATATTGAGGCAATTACCCCCATCATCAATCCCAGCCTTTCCTTTGTGGTATGGTACCTTGCAGTACAATTTCAGAGAGATCCATACACTTGAACACAAGTTATTGTCTGGAAACTAGAAAAATGTGTTTTTTGGTCCCTTTTTGGCCCCCAATTCCTAAACGTTTCGGCAATTACCCCCAAACTCAATTCCAGCTTTCCCTTTGTGATATGGAACCTTGTAGTACAATTTCAGAAAGATCCATACACTTACACACAAGTTATTGTCATGAAACTAGAAAAATGCTTGTTTTTTGCCCCTTAATTTTGAGGCAATTACCCCCAAAATCAATCCCAGCATTCCTTTAGTGATATGGAACCTTGTGGTACAATGTCAGAGAGATCCATACACTAACACACAAGTTATGTCTGGAAGTTACAAAAATGCTTATTTTTGGCCCCTTTTGGCCCCTAATTCCTTAACTATTGGTACCATAACCCCCAAAATCAATCCCAACCTTCCTTTTGTGGTATTGAACCTTGTGGTAAAATTTCATAAAGATCCATTCACTTAAACTAAAGTTAGAGTGCGAAAACCAATGTGTCTTCGGACGACGCCGGACGACGACGACGCCAACGTCATACCAATATACGACCACAAAATTTTTTTTGCGGTCGTATAAACAGATAGATGTATGATACCTTATTCAAAAAGAAAAAAGAAAAAAAAAACTAAAGATTGAATAAACTCTAGTGCATAGGTGGAGTTAAGAAGATCCTGCTTTAACAGTTGCAGCCATCGTCTTATTAGTATAACTAGCTAAAATTCAGAGATAAGTTATTACTTAGGAAAGAAAGGATGCTTTTATGACAAAAGTATTGGAAACTATGTCTCTTTAAAATCAAGAATCATACAAAAATGGTTAAATTAAAAATGTCAAGCTGATATAAAAAGACATATAATATAAGACAAAGATGGAATACTGATGCAGTGTTCTCCACAAGGCCTTACATTTTTTTTACAATGGTGCTATTGGAACATATTTGATAATTGAATGCATTGTAAATGTGGTCCTATAAATTTTAGGGAAACAGTGTTTTACCAAATCCCATGGCGCTATTTGAATAATAGCTGGGAGAACACTGCTGCTAAAAAGGCGATAAAAAATCCCACACTCAGCATGCTAATAAATCTAAATCAATATATATATCTACTTACAACTTGGAGAGGATATTCTACTTCTTATAGTTTTCTGGTTTAATACTTTTTCTGCAAGTAAAGAAAATATTTCACTTTTTTAAGGATGTATGTTTATATATATATATAAACAACTCTAAATTGAAAACAACATTCAAACGTATGATTACGTTGGATAAAAACCGCAATTTTTATACTTGTGTATGCAAAACAAATTTCTTGGTATAGGGGTCTAAACAGCACAAACAACATTTTCCAAAAGACCAAAACGTGAAAAAGTATATTTTAACAAAACACATTTGACTAACAACTGATGTTCTTAAACCCTGCTGACTGCCATGGCGATTGCCAAATAAACGTATCACAAGATGTAACAAAATGGATCTTAATTATTAATTTAATACCAAACAGAAAACAACAAGTACCATAACTCTGCACAAAATCATCAGACTGGAACAAACTTCGAACTTGATCTGTAACCGGAAAAGATGGTATACCGCAAACATGAGGTGCAAAAATTTGTACACCATATCCAGATTTCGACAATTAATGTCTCTTCAGTGATGCTAGGAATCGAAATGGTATTTGGAAGGCCATATAATTTACCTCAATTTAGTATAGATTCTTGAATTCTGAACAGTCGAAATAGGATGAATGGATTATATAATCCCGAAGGCAAATATAATACAGGCCCAAACGAAAAAATATAAACAAGTCTAAATTGAAAACAACGTTCAAACCTATGATTGACTTGGATAAAAACTGCAATTTTTATACGTGTGCTGGAAAACAAATTTCTTGGTAGTGGGGTCTAAATACAGCACAAACAACATTTTCCAAAAGACCAAAAAAGTGAAAAAGTATATTTTAACAAAACGTATTTGACTAGCAGGTCGAACAACGGATGTTCTTAAATCCTGCTGACTGCCATGGGGATTGCCAAATAAACAGATCACCAGATGTAACAAAATATATATATATACATACATCCTTAAAAAAGTAATATTTCCCATGAACGCATTCTTCTTTCATTTGTTTGAAATATTGCAATAGTGGTTGTTAGTTACTATTGTATGCTTTAAAAAATATCCCAGTGAAGTTCACTGGGATATTTTTTAAAGCATACAATAGTAACTCACAACCACTATCGCAATATTTCAAACAAATGAAAGAAGAATGCGTCCATGGGACACAGATGCCCCACTTGTTAATATGCAAGAGTCAATGTACTAATTCATACCTTTTGACATTTTGTTCTCTTTGAACCTAAATGACATTTGTTTCTGAATGTTGTCAGTAGAGATTGCTTGGGGATTGAGTGCTCTCATTTGTTCAATAACAATCAGTAATTGGGTAATTCAAATTTTTCCATTTACAAAGGTACATAACTCAAGAATATTGAAATAAACACCACCCAAATTCGAACTTGATCTGTGTTTGGTGGTAATAAGCATTGTGTATAAATCTAAGAACAGTTTCAAAATGCTGAGAATTAAAATTATGCCAAAGTAAGCACAGATATTCCTAACCATGAGAAAGTTTTAAAACAAGCAGTTGAAAAATATATTGCAAAATAAGAAATGAATTAGACCAGAACCATCAAGCATCTTCCAAAGCAAATGGAGAAAGTATAAATGCCATTTCTAAAAGTGAAAGACAAATAAATGAAAAGTATAGTGATGTTCAGAATTTCATTAATACCACTGACATTTCTAAATTTTTCCAAAATAATGTCATCAGAATTGAGAAATCAACAGAAATATCTATACCTAAGCCTGGAATATCAAGCAGAACAACACTGCAGTTTATTCTTGGGGAGATAACTCTGTCTCATGTTGGCAGTTCCACAAAGAGTTTACATGCCATCATCTGAAACAATGGTGGTTTCTCTTAGTGTTGTCAATCAATATCAGACTAAAAAAAGCTCCAATACGAAGTCGACTGATGATTTCGGCCATGTTAACTTATAAGTAGATCTTGTCTTGCTGATCCTTTTTGTTATTTGCTACATATTAAGATTCAGTCCTAAAAGTCCTTCACTATATAATATCTAAACTTACCTGCTATAATGATAGTATGCCAGTGTCTGGCTGCCAGATTAGGTACATCATGCAGAGATCCAAACACAGGTCTGGGGAATGCTGTACACATACTGTTGGGACCTTTCCCATCATATTTAGCACCTAGTCTTCCATTTTCACCGTTACCCCAGGAATAAACTTCATTGTCTGCAAGAAAATAAAACATATCTGTAAATTAAAGAATACAGACATGTGCAGCAGTTATCATTGCATATTAAAGAATGTGGTGTAAGTTGTAGACTTGATCATATTTCTTAAATGAAGGGTAAATAAGCCTTCTCAGAATTCTATTTTTTGGGAGAAGAAAGATAACTCTGATGTAACATTTTCATTTCTATGTTTTAATAATAGCTTATTCTAATATGACGTTCTTCTTTCACTTTGGAAACAAAGCCATGTTCTAATTGCTATAGAACATAGCTAACGCTCGGTAAAAAGATATTGACAAATATAATGCCTACCCATGTTAAAATGAGCATAGAGCATGTCATGAAAGAATTATTTCTTAAACCTATATTGTAATGTATATTCCTATGGCACTTGTGTACTTTTCTCCAATATGAACTTATAACTTGTTAATAAATGCTATGTATATAAAATTTCATACATGGCAATAATGTGTTAGAATACAGACAAGGGTAAAACAGTATACCCCCTCCTTTGAAAATACCTCATCCTTGTTTTCCCTGCCAATTCTACATATAACTTACCACTAGTAGCTGCAACAGTAAAGCCATCACCACATGCCACATTTAATACTTGTTTTCCGGTCAATTCACCACCAATTTTCACCAAATGTAATCTTTTCCTATAATCTCCCACACCAAGTTGTCCATGTTTATTAGAACCAAAGGTCAATAGATGTCCAAACACTGAAACAAATAATACTTTGCTGTTTAATTATTTGTATATACTTCTCTAACTATTGGCAGATTACATGTATTATTTAGATAGGTACAAAGTATATGTTTCTATCTCTTATTTCTTAGAATAGTTTTACTGCCTGCTACATGTGTATATTCCTGAATAAAAAAATGAAGTTGTGGTATGAATGCCACTGTGACAACTATCCACCAGAGACCAAACGAGTGGATTTAAGCAATTATAGGACATTGTACAGCCTTCAACAATGAGCAAAACCCATACTGTATAGTAAGCTCTAAACATACCTGTCAAATGACCTATATTTAGCGGGTGTGACCCTGAAATTTACCATCTCACCCAAGATTTGTGATGACCGGCCCAAGTCATCAAATAACCCCGGATTTCAGTATCTGACCTGTTTTCACCCGTATTCTTGTTCGATGAGACTATTCAGGTCCAAATAGCAAAATTTCCCTCTGAAGTACTTTAAATTTGACATTCAATTTGAACATTATATACTGTTTTATATTGTTATAATAATAGTTTGTCACTCTATTGATGTAAAAGTCACTAATCTTCTAATTATCTTGTAAATTATAACATATAGAGATGTCAGACTTCAAAGGAAATAGTTGAGTCATAAAAGTGGAATCAGGACAACTGGACCAAGACAACTAGGACCAATTTAAAGACAACTCGGACCACTTTTAAAGACAACTTGGACCAGTTTGAAAGACAATTCAGACCAGTTTTAAAGACAACTCTGACCATTTTTTGATGACATGTTACAGACATCTCGGACCACTCTAAAAGACGACGAAAAAAATACTGCATATTATCGCACTTCAGGTATATTATTGACATTATGATTCACAATTTACTGAATTTCTTCATAATAATATTCAGAAATAAATTTGAATATGTTTGATGACCGTTTTCTTTTTCTATCTTTATAAACCTAAGACCAATAGTGCTTTTAGGTCTTTTATCATGCAGTGAATACAAAATTAAAAAAAATTCTCAAAATTCATTTTTACCTGAATGTAAAATTTTTTAATATTTTTCTACACCTGATTCATACCTCAGCTAAGGAAAATATCTTCAGTAGATGCTGTATTTTTTTCAAATCACAATGTCATTGTACTTTTTGTCCAATCACAGTGTTCAGATACGATTGACCTAAGTAGAGTGCACAAAAGAGAAACCTAGTTCCCAGAAAGTATATATTACAGTGCCACCTAAATAATGGTCATTGAAATCCCAAACCTGCATTAATCCATTTAATAATATAAAAATAAGGAGATGTGGTATCAAAGTCAGTATGAGACAGGCAACTATATGGACTTCAACAATGAGAAAAACCCATACAGTATAGCTGGGAACAGTATATCAATATATATATTCCTGAGTATAGGTAGCTATAAAAGGCTCTGGCAAGAAATATATGAAACAATTCAATTACCCGGTAATAGAAAAACTGACGGCCTAATTTATATTTAACTCTTTTTGTATATTTTAGAGAATGATAATGCATTTCTTCATGATTAGGTACATGTGTGAGCATGCAATTTTGATAATTAATGCATTAGTGGTACTTCCTTTTTAGGCATTTCATTGATGAATTTGTCTTGGTGATGTAAGGACTCCTTCTATAATTTCCAAAATTTTAATAAATTGTGTCTAAGACATTAGATGACATAACAGTACAATGAAATGGTAGGAACTGTATACGTTTCCTTTCATAATAGTGAGTATGGATGTAAATCACGTAATCATTTACTGGGGTATTTTCTGTTTGCTTTTTTACAGTTAGAATCAATAAATTCCAAATTTGAGTTACAACCAAGTTTCATTAGACAGCCAATATTTTGTCCTAGCTCTTCACATCAAATACTATTTCATTATGTGATGTAATCAACTTCAACTGTTCAAATAGAATGTTTTTTTTTATACAAAATGCAAAGGGCAATTTATCTTACTGATTTTGATATATCGGAATTCTTACTAACCGTGGATCCAGTAATGTGAATTTTGGAAAGCCTATAAGCTAAATATTTAGGTAATATATTCAATTTAATACTTTTTTTTCTTTTTTTCTTGCATTGTTTTGATAGTGTTAATTTTTCGATTGTAACTTTGAATTCATTATAATTATATTTACATAATAACATTAACAGTCCCAATATTACTTTAACAGCTAATTTCAAACTCTGATTTTGATTTTTTTGTCTAAAAAATCAACTTTTAGTCATGCCGTTTCAATCAAGAATCCTTTAAAGCTAATAAAGTGCTTTGGGGCAGTTTTATTACTCATTTATAGTAATTCTTGGTTGAACTGTAAGGTGGCCTAAATAACTGGATAATCCCTTACTTTAAGAACATGATTTACATTTATTTTTCACAAGTAATGAACATCAAATCCTACAATTCCATTGGTGGAGAACACTTTGCTATATTCTAAATGTCTTTAAATAGTAAAAATGTGCCTAAATCCCCCTTAAGGATGTTCGCTACTCTGTCTTAAAATAACAAGCTTTTTAAAAGACTGTAATAAATTGATAGTATATAAATAATGGAACTAAAATAGCAGAAACAAAATAGGGGTCCATGACCTAATGTTTTCGAGATATAAGCCATTGATAAATTGGCAGGAAATGATTCGCTCTAGATTTTACATACAATAAACATTGGCACCTTTTTTCTTTCAAAAGCTGTGAAAAAATAACAACAATTTTATAAGATTTTCAAAGAGAGCTTTTTAAATATATGTAATAAAATTACAAAAAGAAAAGTAGGGGTTAGCGGGCAAAATATTTATTGGCACTACATAGAAAAAACCAGAGGATTTAAAATATCTGACAAAAAATCATAAACAAGAGGAGCAAACATCCTTAATCCATGTGCGAAACATAAAGCATTTCTTCATGTTCTACTGTATATTGCTCTGTATTAGGAACACTTTGGAATGAGGTGAAAATAGTCTATCTAGTTATAAGAATATAATCTCCTTAGTTTACACCTCTCAGGTCCTGTATGAATTAAACTGTCGTGGACCTCTTAAACTATCTGATTTATATATTTATACCTGAAAACAATAAGGGGAACAACTCTTAATTATAAATATCTTAATAGAAACCCTTAACTGTTTGAAAACTCAACAATATAAACTTTGAAACTTCTTGACGATAAATTTGAAATTGTCATAATACATGACGAGGTTTTAATTAGTTTTTTGATACATCATGAATAAAAAGTTCTTTGTCATGTTTGACACTTTTAAATAAAGAATATTTTTCAAATAAATAAAATTAAGAATGGAAACGGGAACGTGTCAAAGAGACAACAACCCCACCAAAGATAAGAAAACAGCCCAAGAAGACTATTTCTAAATGATTAAAAAAACAAAATGAAATAATTACTCTTACCAGTAAGTGAATATGAAAGAATGTAAAACAATTAAAAGGAGAAAACCAAAGGCCTAATTCATGTAAAATATTATAAACAAAATACAAACATGATAGACATCAACCAAGGACATTTTTAATAACTCCTGTTTAATTGGGACAGGAAAATACAGAATGTGGTCAGGTAAAGCATATTTCAAGCACTTAACATGCCCCTTACTTGGGACAGTGGTGTTAGAGCACCAGATAAGAACAAACAGTAATTATCAGCTGAAAAGGGCTTGATGAGATCGACATAAAGCACAAAAAACAGCTAACATACAGACTAAAGACAAAAAATACCAATCTAAGAGTACTCACAGTTACTAAAAGCTAGTTCAAAACCATTAACAATTGTAATTAAATCATATTTTCCAGACTAATTTATCAATTGGTTCACATTTACTGGAATTAATGCAAAGATGTCATAAACAGTCTGAGAACATCATGACTTTGAGCAACTCCAAAACGGACAGACAGACCAACAAGCAATGCATCTGTTGACAAATAAACTCAGAGACTATCCTCCTCGCCTATTGTTGGTGGGTATAAAAAAAAATTACACTAAAGAAAACCAAACAATCAGATAACTTTATTCACGCCAAAAGAAATTAAATCTATAAGCAATTTAATATCATGCAATATGTAATCGATAGTTTATATGTTTGATAAAGAAGTCATTCTTCACCAATTTGTATTGTAATCTTTAAATAAATATGCACTGCATAGACTTCCTTGTTTGATCTTGTATGTTTGATACAGGTATGTTTATTATAAAAAAACAACATTAAAAGGTACCAGTTTTGTTTAGGTTATTTCTTAGTAATCGCAATATTGATGGTAAGAACAAATTATTTTACTGATAATACTAAATTATGTAAAAATTCCAATTAAAATAGATTTTCCTTTTTAAAGGGATCAGGGTCTAATTCAACTAGCTTCAAATGATCAGTCTAGATTTTTTCTAAAATTATCAATTTCAATGAAAAAACAGAACTAATTTGAGAACCATATAACATATAAGTTTTAAACCTTTGTTAAATCAGGGAAGATAACACAGATAATTTATTTCTATAAAGGAATGTACAGTAAATTTATCAATTTTGTTGATGAGAGTGCTTTTCTATGTTTACTCCTTACAAAACCTGACAATTTGTATCTTGAAAAAAATCTTGGTTACCCATTTTTTGTTATAATTACAATTTTTTTTTGAAAAATGGAACCCTATGTCTTGCCTGCGATTGCTGCTGTGAGTGTAGAAGTGTAATGTTGACTGTAAAAAGTGAGTCCATTTATCAGTAAAATACAGAACTAGAAAAAATAAGTTTTCTTGATGTTATTTCTTGATCTTGAAGATGAGTCTCTGTCCAAGTATTATAACAATCCATGAAGATAAATTATACTTATATTTGGTTATATTTTGTGTTTACAAAATAAGGAATTTGATAATTGTATTTTGTATTAAGAAATATAGATATTGTTTTATTGAAAAGTAACTGTTTATAAACATGGAAATAATTTTAAATTGAGGAACGTATCTCCCTTATGCAAAGCTCTGATCCCTTTTCAAGTTTTGGATTTACCTTAGGTCCTTTATCGGTTGTATAATTTCTTTAACATTTGAATTAGCTAGGTTTCAGATTTTCAAAAATTTTGACTTCAAGCAACACAAAAGAGACATCAATTGTTTAAATTCACATCTGGTGCAGTAAAAATGTGCTGTTCATATGTTAACTGCCACTGATGGATTGTTAGTCCTCAAGAGTATCACCAGTCTCCTTACTCAAGTTCTTTGGTACTGGCATGAAAACAAGGATATTTTTTATCTTTGCTGTTATTAAAACTTTAGAATGTATTTCCTGCATACATCATCTATGAGTCCTTGTATATGTGTAGCTATTCTTTAGGAATTTTTCAATTGTATTATTGAAGCTCTTCAACACTTAAAATAGGTTTTGGATTTTCAAATATTTTTGGCAATGAGCATCACTGAAAAGACATTAATGGTCTTAATGCAAATGTGGGCAGTAACATTGGTACTGTACCACTGGGTTGATACCTCTGCTATTGGACTGTTAGTCCATGAGAATATCACCACCCAAGTAGCTCAGTTCTTCAGTCTTTTAATGCAGATTTTATCTACTGTAAATTTTTAAAAATTTGCAAAGTTTTCAATATTGCTAAAATGGAAATGGAGAGGTTTTGCTAAAATAAAAGCTCACATTTTAAAATTTGATAGCATTATTGTTTGCACCATTTCTTAAAATCGCAATAATTTATCATGCATTTTTGTATATTGTTCATAAATCGCAATAATTAATGCATGAACAAATTTCTGAATTCCAGTATTGAAATTTGCTGTTCATTAAATTAAGAAATGTATCTCCCTCATAGCTCTTGATTCCTTGACTGGGTTTGTCAATACTTTTGGTCCTTTTGACTATTTTAGCTAATCAATATTTTAAGTATGTTTTGGACAGTGTGCTTTATTTCTTGGATGAGTCAATCAATTGTCCATTCTGTCTTAAAACAATGTCATCTATTTCTATTATATCAAATTTCAGAAATATAGAGAAAATGGCCTCGTCAGATGTGGAAATTTGTACTATCTGTTATGATGAATGGAATTCTGAAGAAGCTATCATATGGTGCACAGAATGTGAGGAGTTTCTGTGTATAGACTGCGAAAAACATCATAAAAAGATGAAAATATCTGATGACCATAAAACAATGTCTATTGAGGACTATCACAAGTTACCTCAATTTGTACAGGATATAAGTACCTATTGCCAAGATCACATGGAGAAATTTAAACTTTACTGTTCTTACCATGTCTGTCCATGCTGTGAAAAGTGCTTTGGTGATAAACACAAGAAATGTAGGGATATGAAACCACTATCAGACATTGTAGCACAAGTGAAATCATCTGCCTGGGTTCAACTTCTTGATAAAGATTTGAAGGATGTGAAGGAAAGCTTTGAAGAGATAATAAAATACTTAAATGGTAGGGTTAATACATGCAAAATTCAGAGAATACAAGCGTTTGCAAAAATTCAATATATGAGGAACTCAATAGATGAATTATTCAATAAACTAGAAAAAGAAATAAAAGATGACTTAGAATATAAACATTCAGAGCTGGAATCAAAGATGAATACTCTCCTACATCAACTGGAGCAACAAGCCAATCAGATAAGTCAATTGCAGAGTGAGTTTTCCCAAATGACACAATATGCAACTGAACTACAAATGTATGTTGGTCTGAGAGAAATAGAGAAAACTACATCTAAAGCAGCACAATACATAGAAGATTTAAAAAGGGGAGACAACTTCAAAGAAAATAACTTTGATGTAACCATTTCCCCTTCCGTTCAATCAATTTTAAAATACGTCAAATCGTTTGGTGATATAAATATGAATACCAGACCATCTCCTCTTCAAGTTAATGCTGGAAGAGAAGACCAAGCACAGTTTCTAGTTCCCACTTATCCAGGATTTGAACTCATTAAGACATCAATGTTGAGAACACTGATTATCCCAGATGATAAGAAGTTTATTCATATAGGTGCCTGTAGGATATTATCTGATAGCACATATCTAACTCTTAATAACCAGGATAAAAAAAGTCAGCTGTGGTTATTCAATAATGATGGTACCTTTAAAAGAGAGGTAATAGGAAAATTACCAGGATCTTCATTGGATACATGCTTTGTCAGAAATAATACAGTGGCTGTAACATTAGGATCAGCAAACCAGACAGTGCTGGTAGATATAGAAAAGAAAAAAGTTATTAAAAAAATTAAACTTTCTCATGATTGTTGTGGAGTAGCAAGTGATGGTCAAATATTGGTCATTGGCAGTAGAGAAAAAAGTACCATAGTGAACTTGGATGACGTTAAGTCTCATAAAATCTTAGAAGAAGTTAAGGCAAATTTTATTTCGTTATTCAAAGGAAATATCTATGGAACCATTGGCGATGAACAAAAAGTCTGCTGCTACACAAGTACTGGAGATCCTCTTTGGACATTTAAACACTGTGACATCAGCTTCCCACAAGGGATAACACTAGACATGAATGGCTTCATTTATATAGCTTCTACTGAAAACAACAGTGTCATGGTAGTATCACCTGATGGCAAAACAAGCAAGACAATACTATCAGGGGCTGATGGAATCAAAAATCCTATAGCAATAGACATTAACAGAGAAACAGGAATGATGTTGGTGTCAAGTATAATAAGTGATGATAGCGAGGAGAAATCTTCTCAAAAAGTTTTTGTTTTTCAAATTTGATATGTGAATATAAATAAGTTTGATAATAATGACATTTTGTATGAATCAGCTTCTGGTTATCAGAAACGAATTTGAAATTTAAAAAAGCGACGACTGACCATAACAAACATCTGTAAAATATTAAAGTTATAGTGTGAGATGTTTTCATTTTGTTAATAAAAATGATATCTATATTAGGTTTTTCATTATACTGGCAATACAAAATCTACTACCACTTGGAAGCTCTGATTCTTTTTTTTGTGTGACCAATTTGTAACTTTCATGAAAAAATAATTTTTTTCATAAGGGAAAATGCCTGACAATTTAAAACAGCTGACTGTCTCAGTGCAACTGAGTTTTCAACATTGATGATTATTATATCTAATATAATTTATATATAGTAACAAGTTTTCCACTCTGTAAATGTGCACTTTGTATCTAGCTATTTATAAATCAATAATCACAGGTAAGTGTACTGGTTAAACAAGACATTTTACTTCCCTGTGGAAATTTCTATTACTGAGCATGCACCATCTATCACAACATTTAATGGTAAGAATATATAAAAAGCTCTGGGAGATTAGGGGTATACATTAAACATTAGACAGCAACCCATCAGTAAAAGTAAAGGCATTTACACAACAGGAATCGGAAATGATAGTCGACTTTATTATTTACAGAGTTTTATTGATATAATTTCCGATTCCTGTGTTTACACATAATATAAAACTCATCAAAGAATTATACCAGGCTTATAATTTGATGGGCCAGACGGTTGTTATGTCTTCATCAGACTCATATCAGAGGCTTAGTAATAAAAAAAAATGTTGAAAGGTGACAAATCAAACACAAAATTGCATACAGCAAATCAAGCAAAAACTTATGAAAAGTTGTACCAAATATGTGATGCTCTAGTAGCTTCCAAACAAAAGTTAAAGAAATCCAACAGGGACCACCAAATTGTCATCAACAGCAAATTCTATTCAGGACAAAACAAAACGACAAAGGCATGGGCCCCCACTTTTTAAATGGAAACATCAACATCTGAGGAGATAGGAATTGCCTTGCATTTTGAGCACATAACATTCCCCCTTTTTTCAAATCTTCAATAGATTACATTTGATGGGTATAATGAAAGAACCTTAAGTGAGAAAGCTCACATACCCAAAATCCCACATAATTAATATAAATATTTTTACAAGCCATTGCCCAACGAAATGTACTCTAATTTTATTTTTTCTGATTAACAGACTCAATCATTCAATGTTTTTGATGAGAGGAAACTGTAAACAAATTTGAAGAGGGTCGGATAAAAAAATTAAGGCATCATCCCTGCAACAAGAATAAAAACGGGATATGTTTACGAGGTTCCCTGTTTAAAAAAGATTATTGAACTCATCCAAGGTTTTGGTGAGTGGAAACACATTTGTAGAGGATCTAAAATGAAATGAGTGTGTTTTCCCCACACAAGAATTAAAGTGGGATATTTTTACAAGTTCCCCTCCAGAAAAGATGGTTCCCCATTTAAGATCTTGTATTGTCAACCTCCATCAAAGTTTTAAAGAGAAGACATTTTCATACAAAATTGAAGATGATCCAAAAAATATATCTAAAGACACTAAAGACCTAGATCGATTCTCATCTTCAACAACAACAACACTCTCCAACATCGTAGACTAGATCTATAATTCATAACTTAAATCTCTTTTTTGTTGATCTTGTATTATGCATCATTTTATTGTTGTGTCCAATTTCTCTCTTTGGTTTTTTCTCTCTCTCAAAACACAAAAAAGTGAAAAATGTTTAAGGAAAATAACTCCTATAAGAAGATAACTGAAAATTTCATCTATGCAAGTGGGCTAGGTGAGCTAAAAATGAAGGCATAATACTGTTGACAGAAATTAATATGAAAGTCCAGTGTAGTAAAAGAGTCTATTCAATCAGATTGTTTTTTTTTATCAAAAAATAAAATTGCAAAAATATGGAACTCTTAGGAAATTCAAAATGGAAGGTCCTTTAATGGCAAATCAAAAGCTCAAACACATTAAAGGAATGGAAAACAACTGTCATATTCTTGACTTGGTACAGACATTTTCTTATGTAGAAAATGGTGGATAAATTTATAGCTAGATAAACATCTCACTGATATGACAGTCGCATATAATTCCATTATATTGACCATAACATGTGAGCAAAACATACGGACATATTATTAGGTAAAAAGTTATAAATTTGGGGTACAGCAGACAACATTGTGTTATAATCATTTATTAATCATAATAAAAACTTCCTAGATATCATTGAGATGGGAGCCATCTCTGTGGGCCCCGCTGTGAATAATGTGTGGTAAAAAATTTGTATCTTTATCATTGGACATGGGGTTGTCAACTGAAACCAAAGTTTTTGACCTTGACCTTTGACCTAGGAAGTTGTACATAAATTATGACACACCCTCTGGTGTTGGTTTATATACATGTCCAGTATAAACTTTGAAATCATAACATTTCTCAAGATATAGAGCTGACACGATCTTTACCATAGGACATGGGGTTTTCAACTAAAACCAAAGTTTTTGACCTTGACCTTGATTTTTGACCTAGGAAGTTGTACATAAATTATGACACACCCTCTGGTGTTGGTTTATATACATGTCAAGTATAAACTTTGAAATCATAACGGTTCTCAAGATATAGAGCTGATACGATCTTTACCATATTACATGTGGTTGTCAACTAAAACAAAAGTTTTTGACCTTGACCTTTGACCTAGGAAGTTGTACATACATTATGACACACCCTCTGGGGTTGGTTAATATACATGTCAAGTATATACTTTGAAATCATAACGGTTCTCTAGATATAGAGCGGACACAATTTGTTATGGACGGACGAACTGACGGACAGACGGACGGACAGACTGATCACTATAGGGCGTCCGCCATTCGGCGGGGCCCTAATAACTATTTCAACTGATCTTTTGATATGAGGAAATGGCTAATTTATGAATTGAATGATTGTTGGTGTTTAACACCAGCTTTCAGCACTACTGTGGATTCATTATTATTGGTTAGATACCAATTTTCGTGGATTTCATGGTTACCCGGGAACCACGAATTCCAATGTACAACTAATTACTAATTTTCTATTAGTATGTATGCAGATTTTGGCAAAACCACAAAATCAAATATCCACGAAAATGCAATTTTTCCTCAATCCACGAAAATTGGTACCCACGAAAATAAATGAATCCACAGTATATGCTATATCATGGCGGTCAGTTTATATTGGTTGATGAAGCTGGATTATCCAGAAAGAACATAGACCTTTGGCAGAAAAACCGACAATTATAGTCAATTAAGATTAGGCTTAAATGCACCTGCCATGTGTAGTTTACAACTCACTACCTCAGTGTTGACAGGCTAATGATACGCAGATTTACAACTGAGACCACGTTATCATCAAGAGCCCTTCAAGTTGGAAGAGATCTGATTAGATAACGGCACTATCCAGGCAACAAGAATTTATATGGGATACTTTTTAAGTCTACTTCTAGATGAAATGATTCCCAATTTAAATATCCTGAAAATTGAACCTATTTAAACTTTTCAAACTTCATACAATTTGAAAATGGTCTGAAAATGAAGATGCTATCCTGGCAAAAAAAAACAATATTTGATATTTGAACAAGTGAAACTGCATGCGAGCTACTGCTCACTGAAGATACCCCCGCCCGAATATTTCGGTAAACAGGAAGTTGTTGAGTGATGAATCTGAAAACGCATCACACTGTATAGCTGACTTATATAAACCCTGAAACCAAATTTCAGAATCCTTGTCATGTAGTTCCTGAGAAAAATGTGACGAAAATTTTCAACTTGGCTACATAATGTGTAAAATGATGTAAGAGTTTGGTTAACAGGAAGTTGTTGAGTGATGAATCTGAAAACGCATCACACAGTATAGCTGACTCATATAAACCCTGAAACCAAATTTCAGAAATCCTTGTAATGTAGTTCCTGAGAAAGATGCGACGAAAAATAAAATGTGACGAAAATTTTCAACTTGGCTACTCATGTTTAAAATTTTGTAAGTGTTTGGTAAACAGGAAGTTGTTGAGTGATGAATCTGAAAACGCATCACACTGTATAGCTGACTTATATAAACCCTGAAACCAAATTTCAGAAATCCTTATAATGTAGTTCATAAGAAAAATGTGACGAAAATTTTCAACTTGGCTAGCTATGTGTAAAATGATGTAAGTGTTCGGTAAACAGGAAGTTGTTGAGTGAAAAATCTGAAAACGCATCACACGGTATAGCTGACTCATATAAACCCTGAAACCAAATTTCAGAAATCCTTGTAATGTAGTTCCTGAGAAAGATGCGACGAAAAATATTCATGGGACGGACGGACGAACGGACGGACTGACGGATGGACTGATGGACAGACAGACAGAGGTAAAACAGTATAACCCCTCTTTTTTAAAGCGGATGTATAACTAGTCTTTCTCTTGAAAAAATTGTTGCCAATTTCAGATTTATTTGATAATGGAACTCATTCTTACTTTTAATGAGTGGAAAACTTCCTATAATTTGAAGAAGCTCTGACAAAAACTGTAAGGGTTAGCATGCTGACAACAATGTTATGTTTTGCTGTTCCTCCACGGTCCAAAGTAAAGGGGTGGTGTTAAGGACTGACAAACATGTTTAGCCAAACAACATTCTCTATGTGTCTTTTCCAAGTCAGGAGCCTGCAATTCAGTTGCTGTTGTTTACTGTCGTTTATATTTGTCTTTTATTCATTTATTGCTTTTTCATAAACAAGGCAATTGGTTTTCTTGTTTGAATTGTTTCACAATTCCTCATTTGATCTTGTCATGGCAGGCCTTTTATAACTGCATAACAATATAGTATAACTAAATTTCTTATTGTTGGAAGCTACAATGACCTATAGTTGCTTTCCCAAATCAGCAAAAAACATTTTTTTTCCCGAATCAGAAGTGTAAACAGGAGAGTTTAATAAATGCAAATTTCAATATATTTATATTTCGAAGGAAAAATAGTTGATCAACAATGAATTTAAAACTCTTCTGAGACATTGCTGATATACATCTTTGATATAAATTTCAATAAAAAATTGAGCAACAGTTGTACATGTGAGAGGGCTTATAAGACAAGAGAGTTGATGCCTGGTATTTTTTGTCTCCAAGCATGTGTTGCAGAGGGGGGACAATTATTTACAGCTGATAATTCCTTGCATTAATTCAAAGCCTGATTTTTATGTGCTTTGTCTATATGCCTTTTTGTGTCTCTTTGTAGAAATATTTGTTTGTTTTTATAGTGATTAAGATTATAACACAATGTTGACTGCTGTACCCCAATTTTGACATTTACTTTTTACATACTCATACAATTAGTTTATTCCTGTTAATAAGCTTAAGAGTGTTTACATTTTCAAATATGAAATGTACGTGATCCCTATTACCTTTCCAATAAACCAAGTTTTTGATGGCAATTGTACGAGCATTAATCTAAAAATATCCATAATATGCCAAATATTTAAAAAAAGTCATGCTATCTTTGCTACATGCTGTGTTACTGAATGTAACCATGTTTTCTATCTTAGCAAAGTGGATTCTTATTAATTGTGCAATTTGCATTCATTTTTCAATATTTTTGAAAAACTGTTTTTCTATTGTAAATTTCAGAAATAAGAGAATATGGCCTCATCAGATAGGAACGTGTGCACTCTCTGTTATGATGATGGAACATCTACAGAAGCTGTCACATGGTGCACAGAATGTGAGGTGTTCCTTTGTACAGACTGTGAAAAACATCATAAAAGGTCAAGAACATCCAAAGAACACAAAACCATTTCTTCTACAGAATACCATAAATTACCTCAATTTATGCTAGATATAAGTAGCCAGTGCAAAGACCACAAGAAGAAGTTTGAACTTTACTGTTCTTTCCATGCCTGTCCCTGTTGTGTCACATGCATCACTGATAAACACCAGAAATGTCAAGAAATGAAACCACTATCAGATATTATTAAGCAAGTTAAATCATCTGCCTTTGTTCAACTTCTTGAAAAAGATTTGAAAAATGTAAAAGAAAACTTTGAAGAGATTATAAAATGTTTGAACAGTAGAATCGAAATCAGCAATTCTCATAAACAGAAAGCTGCTGAAGAAATTCGATCTATGAGGAAATCTATAGATGATTACTTAAACAAAATAGAAAAAGACATTCTGGATGACCTCGAATCTAAACAATCAAACATAAAATCAGAAATAAACACTCTTCTACAACAACTGACACAAAGAGCCAATGAAATCAGCCAATTGGAGAGTGAGTTTTCTAAAATGACTCAATATGCAACCGAGTTACAAATGTATGTTGGTCTGAGAGAAATTGAGAAAGCTACATCCCAAGCTGCAAAATATATTGAAGATTTGATCAGTGGCAATGAATTTGAAGAAATTAACCTAAACCTTAATATTTCATCTGAACTTGAATCAATTTTAAAAGATGTCAAATCATTTGGAGATATTTATATCAATACCAGACCATGTACCCTTGAATTAAAAGCTGGAAGAAAAGATCAAGCACAGAACCTAGTTCTTACTATTCCTAGAATTGAACAAATTAAGCCATCTATGTTGAAAAAGCTGGCAATTCCGGAAGATATCTTATCAATGAATATTCGTGCCTGTAGACTATTGCCTGATGGTAAATATCTAATCATTGACAACCAGTTTTATACAGGTCACCTGCTGCTGTTCAGTAATGCTGGCATGTTTCTGAAAGAAGTAGTGGCATTCAATGGATGCTCATTTGATACTTGCATATTAAGAAATAATACAGTGGCTGTCACATTAGGATTGGAAAAGCAGATAGCATTTGTGGAAATAGAAAAGAATAATATCATCAGAACAATTCACTTTTCTCATGTCTGTGATGCAATAGCAAGTGATGGTCAAATGTTGGTCATCAGCAGTATGGAAAAAAGTACATTAGTAAATCTGACTGATGAGTCACATACAATCTTAGAAGGAGTTGTGGCAGATCGTGTTGCATTATTCAATGAAAGTATCTATGGTACACTATATAAAGCAAAGCAAGTCAACTGCTATACTAGTACTGGAGAACCTCTATGGACATTTCAGCACCAAGATATTGTCAGTCCAAGAGAACTTGCATTGGACAAGAATGGCTTTGTTTATATAGCCTCTCGTGGAAACAACAGTATAGTGGTAGTGTCACCAGATGGTAAAACACTTAAGACAATACTGTCTGAGGCTGATGGAATCAAACATCCTTATGCAATAGACATAAACAGAGAAACAGGAATAATGATAGTGTCAAGTCATATACGTGATCATTGTGAGGAGGATCTTTATCAAACAGCTTTTGTTTATAAAATCTAAAATGTGAGATTTTTTAAAATTGCAAATAAAAGTCTAAAGATGTCGACTCTAGTGTTACCACCAGTAATAAGTCTAAGAGTTATAAGTCTTCTTTTTTACCAACAGTTATAGGTCTCTGATCAACACTAGTACTCAAACTCCCTTTTTTAAAAACATACATTTACACAAAATAAAAGATTTGTCTTAGTATATAATATCACAAAGGCCAAATTAAATCTGACACAGAAATGGTGGACATGCAAAAGTTAATTATCTAAAAAATAGTTTGCCAAATTTTACGACAATCTGGTCAACTAGTTAGGTAACTAAGATCATAAAGAATTCTGTGAAGAAAAAATAGTTGAGGGAAAGGATAGAAGGTGACGATAAATTTATCAAACCAAAGAGCTTTAGTTTTTCTTTTGTAATTAAAGTCTTATCTATATAACAACAATTAATACAAAAATCAAATGTAATAAGTCCTCCTACATTAGAATCAACAGTACATTGTCATCTATACATGAAATAAAAAGTTTCCAGGTAATTTTTGTATTTTCAACAGACATTTCTTATTCCTCGACACATAAAAACAAAACAAGAGTGCACACGCTGAAATGTCTCACCTGTTTTACTCATAATGATTGAATTTCATACCATACAACAAATATAGCCTAACCTTGATCACTGATCCATATGATGTCTCGAAGTCAGGTGGACAGATATTTAGATCTTGCAAGGATCCCATGTACCAACTACATTTATTCAACTACTCATAATGAGTGAATATTTCACATGACAAAAAAATCAATTTCTTTTTCAAACAGCCACTAGTCGCTGAACCAAGAAAATGAGGTCAAGGAAATGGCCATTTGACAGATGGAAGGTTTGAAACATAAGGTATGAAGCTTCATGTTTTCTACCTTCTTATATCTTTTTACAAATACCGGTAGTTTATGCTGCTGCCAGATTGAAATCCCTGTCTCCCATTCTGTCACAGCGAGAGAAAAAATCATATAGTATGGGTTATGCTCATGGTTGAAGACGGTATGGTATATATAGCTGCATTACTCTACGTCATTTAATCTCTGTTAAATAGTTGTCTCACTACATTGTCTGAATCATTTTTGATTCTGACAATGTAGTAATGTATCATGCAGAACACAGGTTATGAACATAAATTATGTAATTTTATTGGAATGAAGTTAAGATAAAAATGTTTATATGTTAAGTAAAGGCAATAATTGAAAAACACCCAGAAATGAATAGACCACATAAATAAAAGTAAATATAAAGGTATCGAAATTTAAACCGAAAATGATTAAATAAGGCATAAACTTCTTCATAACTCAAATTCACAGAGATATTAATTTTCTTTAAATAGTACCAAACAAATTGTAGTATAAGGAAAGACATTTAATGCATATATATCATCTAAATGTCACTCCATTGATAAAGGAAGTTTCTTCTACTGTATTATGCTTATTTGTATATCGCCTGTGTGTTTTTATCTTTTAAAAAAATACTTGAATGTACACACACCTGAAGAACTTTGAATAAAGCTATTCAGCTTTCTGTCTTTATTTTCAATACTTTCTGACGCATAGAAATATCTTTTTTATATATACTATAAAAGTAAGTATATGAATTTAAATCAATAATTCTGTGAGACTGGTGTTGGGATAGGTAGTTTAAACAAATGACTTCTCCTTAGAATGCATCATTCAAGTTTTCATGGTAAGACAATTTAATTAGTTCAGGTACAAGCTTTAGATAAAAAAAAAGTAAAAATTGGTATAGGGCAACAAGGCAACACCCAACTGACATAAAAATCCAAAATATATCAAGAGGTCAACATACATGTATGATATGTTTATACGTAGAAACCGATGTCTAACTAAAAGTCATTAAAATCATTTTAAATTTCTGAAATTTTACTTCAACAATAAAACATCTGAGATTGATTCTCATATTTTGTCTGAATCATTGTAAATCTCATTTTAAGGCTGAACAAAAAGAGAAAGTACAGCACAGCATCTTAAACAGATGCCTTTAACTCAGTGACTCCTCGATATATTTAAGTCCATTTGGGAAGGGACATAGTAGTTGATATTAATATTTTGTTGGAAAACAACTCACCTTACGAGTGCCACATGTGGAGGAGGATCTGCTTACCCTTCTGGAGCACCTGAGATCACCCCCAGTTTTTGATGGGGTTCATGTTGCTCAGTCTTTAGTTTTCTATGTTGTGTTTTGTGTACTCTTGTTTGTCTATTGGTCTTTTTCTTTTTTAGCCATGACGTTGTCTGTTTATTTTCGACATATGAGTTTGAATGTCCCTCTCGTATCTTTCGCCCCTCTTTTAAATAGTACATAATTAGAGGCAACAGAATTTAACAGATGTTCAATCTTATACATCCCTTCAGAACATGCAAATCAAACAAAAAGAACAACTGGAGGGAATCACAAGAAATTCAAAATGGGCATAACTGTGTGAATTGACAGGGTACGAAGATCATCTCATGTTACACATGCATTATCTGCCATGCAAACCCACATTCAGAAATCATGTTTTAAATAGGAATGGGACACAAATGGTAAATTTCAAGATTAGAATACTTCTCTCGTATCTAAATATTTAAGACTGCAAAACATGTTCATAGCAATTTGAGACACAGAAACACTAAATCTGTCAGTCAACCATTTGCGATGGTGACCATTAAACTTTTATTGATTTGTTATTCTTTCTCATAACCCTGTTGGAACAGTTTTTGTGTGGGGAGCTTGCCCATGTTTATGAAGTCTGTATAATGCTAACATGCACAAGTATAACAGTGTAACATTTCAACTGAGATATGTAAACACCATACAATTGGGCAGAGGGTATGTTATTGCTTAGTACTGAAACTAGAGGCTCTCAAGAGCCTGTGTCGCTCACCTGTATTTACTGATGCTTTGGAAATCATGTAAAATAAGGTTAAAATCATAATTAATAGTATTAGATATTAGATATTATAATGATATCTAAGATAATAACAAAAAACTGCAAAATTTCTGTAAAATTACTAACTCAGGGGCAGCAACCCAACAATGGGTTGTCAGAATCGTCTGAAAATTTCAGGGCAGATAAATCTAATTCTGATGAACATTTTTGCTACCTGTCAGATTTGTTCTAAATGCTTTAGTTTCAGAGATATAAACCAAAAACTGCATTTTACCCCTATGTTCTATTTTTAACCATGTCGGCCATGATGGTTGGAAGGCGGGGTCATCGGACAAATTTTTTGAAGTAGATACCTAATAATGATTATGGCCAAGTATGGTTAAATTTGTCTCAGTAGTTTCAGAGAAGAAGATTTTTGTAAAAGATTACAAAACTTTACGAAAAATTGTTAAAAATTGACTATAAAGGGCAATAACTCCTAAAGGGGTCGACTGACAATTTTGGTCATCGCAACTTATTTGTAGATCTTACTTTGCTGAACATTATTGGTGTTTACAGTTTATCTCTATCTATAATAATATTCAAAAAAATAACCAAAAACTGCAAAGTTTCCTTAAAATTACCAATTCAGGGGCAGCAACCCAACAACGGGTTGTCAGATTTGTCTGAAAATTTCAGGGCAGATAGATCTTGACCTGATAATCAGTTTTACCCTCGTCAGATTTATTCTAAATGCTTTGGTTTCAGAAATATAAGCCAAAATCTACATTTTACCCCTATGTTCTATTTTTAGCCATGACGGCCATCTTGGTTGGTTGGCAGGGTCATCGGACACATTTTTTAAACTAGATACCCTAATGATGATTATGGCCAAGTTTGGTTAAATTTGGCCCAGTGGTTTCAGAGGAGAAGATTTTTGTAAAAAGCTAACGACGACGACAGACGACGGACGACAAGTGATGAGAAAAGCTCACTTGGCCCTTTGGGCCAGGTGAGCTAAAAATGACAAAAGCTCAATAAGACTGACTGTGAAGTTATAATTGTTTGGTAAAAACTGTCAAAATATTCTCTACATTAAATTTCAGAAATAAAGGCATAAAGAAAATGGCCTCATCAAATAAAGACGTTTGCAACCTCTGTTATGATGATGGAACATCTACAGAAGCTGTCACATGGTGCACAGAATGTGAGGTATTCCTCTGTACAGACTGTGGAAAACATCACAAAAAGTCCAGACTATCTCGAGACCATAAAACCATGTCTACAAAAGACTACCACAAGTTACCTAAATTAATGCAAGAATTTAGTGTCCACTGTCAAAACCACAAGAAGAAGTTTGAAATTTACTGTCCTTTCCATGATTGTCCCTGCTGTGTCCAGTGCATCACTGATAAAAACCAAAAATGTCAAGAAATGAAACCACTGTCAAACATTCTAAAGAAAGTTAAATCTTCTGCCTCAATTCATCTTCTTGAAAAGGAGTTGCAGGATGTTAAAGGAAACTTTGAAATGATGATTAAGTACTTAAACGGAAGGTTGGGTATAAGCAATGACCAAGAACGAAAAGGTATATATGAAATTCAATCTGTGAGGTCCATGATAGATGCTTTCTTAAACAAATTAGAACAAAAAATTATTGATGACTTAAAATCTCTTTTTTTTTTTTTTTTTACTCAAATTGATTCTTTATTGCACATATTGCTGTTTTAACAATAAAACTTGGTGTACAGCATTCCATCAAGTATCCCTGCTAAATTTACTACTAAATATCCAGGGAGAATATTCCGTAGAATTAACAATAAATAACATTGGTATAAATATCTGAATAAATAAATTACTGTTACAAACAGTCTTTATTAATACAAAATTTGTATACTATTTATATTTATAATAATATCTGTAATATTCCAATATCTATAATTACACAAGTTTGTCGGTATTTTTACGGAAATTATTCTTTACTCCGGAATTGGTTTTTTTATACTATCTTTAATGTATCAGAAACGAAATGCGGTCAGTGACCTCGCACGTTCTTTTCAATCTTTCAATTTTGAGAATACACAATTTTCAATCCTGGTGTTTGCATGTATTATTTAATGATTTGAAAATTTGGAATAATGATTCGAAAAAGGTAAGTTGTTGTACTAATATAATTTTGTGTTTACAACTTAATTTATAATTATTAAATAGATTCGTTATTGATTTGACCCAAATAAATATTGTGTCGTGACCTTTACCTATCAAATGTTTGTAAACATTTAAAACATTGGTACAGCATCAATATATTCAAAGATCACACACACGCCTACATATACCAATGCATCTGAAGTATCCACAGGAACATACTTTGGTACATACATACTTTTGCAATTACAACATTGTACAATGTACAGCATCACATGCCTATGCTTTTTTCTACAGTACAGGTACTACAACAAAAATACTTTCTGTAGCTCTATTAATAGTACCAGCTTAATTTTATAAAATTACATCAGTTTTTGCTCAGAGTATAGAGTCCTTTTTTTTTGTAAACTATTTGATACATATATTTCATACTGTTTTATTTTGTACTCATTTCTTCATATCAGAGGTGAATTATTAAGCTAGTCCAAACAATTATGAGTCTCAAAAGACCAACCCAATCATTTTTCCCTGACACCTTCCTTCGACGTAGTTAAGCCTCACAGAAAAAGAAACTAAATTAGCCCTTCAAGACGTCACAACCATTTGGACTAATTTTTTGCGAACAAATTTATACACAACTCACACACACCCAAAGTACATACCGTAACATATATAGATACATGTAGGTACTTACATTGTACATTTACAATTAAAGTATCACAAGCATTAACACATTAATTGATAGCCTCTGTTTTTTTTTACTATTAGCTTAATGCATTTTAATACCATAAAATGACATCAATTTTTTCTCAAAATATTCAACACCTTTGTTAATAAGCAGCTTATCTCTATATTTGCTATACTATATAATTCTACTATATTTTCTACTTCATATTTGAAAATTCTTAATGTGTCTACCATTTTAGCCTTTTTATTAGAAACATAATGTGCTTTATAAACTGAAAAGAACATTAAGCTAAGCAGATGATTTAGTGCATAATATGCCTCATCATAAATTTTGTATCCTATTACAAGAGAATGGAGACTTATTACATGTTCATCAATACAGACTTTTTGAAGTAAACCTTTCATTGATTTCCAAAATGTTTTATGATATGAACATGTAATGAAAAAATGATTATAATTATCTAGTTTATTACAGTATGAACAAAAATTGTTTGTTGAAATTTTCCACTGGAAAAGCAGCTCCTCGTTTGGCAAAATATAATGCATTAATTTCCACCTGAACATTTTTATTTTATTATCTTTAAGATACTCAAAAGTAAATTTAATAGAGTCTTTGAATTCATTTTTAGTCTTCCTATACTTAAGACTCTTTCCCATTTTAAAAAACCGGTTGGTATTTCTATTTTTACTAGACTTAGTACAATTTTGTATATGTCTTTATTATTGATAGTTAGTACATTATTATTATCTCTAAGTTTAATTTTAGTTCGGTTAATATGGACTTTAGTTTTGAATGATTCCTCTGTTTTTTAATTTGTCTGTCCATTGTTTTGGTATGGATTTTTTTAGTTTTGATAGTTCAGAAATCCAATTGCTTTTATTTCTTAATTTTGAAATAATTATTTCTTCTGATATATTTCCCCTATTATCAATTATGTCATTTATATATAATATATCACTATCAATCCAATTATTAAAGAACAGACATTTAGCTTGAAATTTTATGGATCTATTGCCCCATATTACTTGTTTTCTGATATCTAAATAATTATCGATTTGATCATGATGATTGTTTTCATAATTGTTTACAGTTATCCATGTTTTTATCATCTCTTGATAGAAGATTGGTGTATCATTCCATATTTTTCTATCTAGAAGTTTTGTGCTATTTAGATTCATCTTGAAAATGAGCAGGTTTTTTCCAAATTTATTAAGGTGTAATTTTGATAATACAGACCAGTTTGCATTTCCTGATTGTAGTATTTTTAAAATCCATTTTAAATGTATTGATTTTATATAAGACTCCATATCAATCATTTTTAACCCCCCCTCAGAGAAATTTTTAATTATTATTGACCTTTTTATTTTATCTTTTCCTCCATTCCAAATGAATTTATATAAGATTTTATTTATATTTTGTAGATAATCTTTAGTTATGATACTGTTAGTAGCAATGTACGTTATATTTGGTAACAGAAGAGCTTTTACTATTAATATTTTTCCAAGTAGTGTTAACTTTCGTTTTGACCATCTTTCTACAAGTTTTGCTATTTTGTCTATCACCTTTTCCATATTTAATGCTTGACATTCTTTTCTGTCATACCCAAAATAGATACCGAGGCTTTTAATTGGTTTGTTTGTCCAGTTTATATTTTCATATTTATCTTTTGAACTTTTTAATCTCCCTAACCATACCCCTTCTGTTTTGTTTCTATTAAGTTTAAGTCCTGAAAAACTTCCAAATGTTTCAATTATGCTAAGAGCCAAACTTATTTCTTTTCTTGACTGTAGAAAGAGTGTTGTATCATCCGCTAATTGGCAAATTTTTAAATTACAAGATTTTCCTTCTAATTTTATTTTTATTCCTTTAAAATCTTTATTACTTCTTAGTCTTATTGCCATTAATTCTACTGTTATGACAAAAAGGAGAGCTGAAATCGGACACCCTTGTCGTATTCCACGATATATTTTGAAAGGACCTGAGACCCACCCATTATTTAAAATACATCCCTTTATGTCTTTATACATAGTTTCAACCCATCTGATAAAACTAGTTTTAAATCCAAACTTTTTTAGAGTTTCCGTCATAAATGTCCATTCTAACGAGTCAAAGGCTTTACTAAAATCCAAAAAAAGAATTGCTCCTTCTATATTAAATTTCTCAGAATAATCTATAATATCTTGTATTTGTCTGATGTTAAAACCAATATATCTGTTTTTAACATATCCGGTTTGATCTAGACTAATGATAGATGGTAGAACTTTTTTAAGTCTCTGAGCTAACACATAAGCTAATAGTTTTGTATCAATATTCAATAAAGTTATGGGACGGTAATTATTTAATGAAAGAGGGTCATTCTTTTTAAATATTAGTGAAATTGCACCTTTCTTTTGAGAGTTTGTTAATTCTTTTTTTTCATAGTTATAATTAAATACCTTGACAATAATATTTTTTAAGCTATTCCAGAATTGCCTATAAAATTCCACTGTTAGACCATCTAGACCGGGGGATTTATTTAGCTTCATTTTAAATATTGCAGCTGTACATTCAGTTTCTGTTACTTCCCCTTCACATTGATTACTATCTGAGTCTTTTAGCTTTTTTGGTAGCTCTGTTTCTTTAATATACATTTTAACATCATCATCACAAGGGTTAGTGGACTCATAGAGAGTTTTGTAGTATTTCACTTGTAGATTTAAAATTTTATCTTGGTCTGTTGTAGCAGACCCATTTTCATCATATAGTTCAGTTATAATCTTTTTTGTTTGGCGACTCTTTTCTAGTCCCAAGAAGTATGCACTATTTTTTTCTCCTTCTTCAAACCATTTTACCCTTGACCTTATTTTTTGTCCCTTAATTTTGTCTTTATACAAGCCCTCTAAATAATTTTCCACATTTTCAATTTCTTTTTGTAATTTTTGATTTATAAGGGTACCATTATTTATTTCTTTGTTGAGATAATTCAGCTGTTTTTCTAAAATATTTATTTGATCTTTTTTTAATTTGGCTTGTCTTTTACAATAGCTTAAACTTGCATCCCGCACTTCTATTTTCAAGTTATCCCAAAGTATCCCCAAATCATTACAGTTAATTGATTCCTTTTCATATTTAATTATTAGATTTGTTATTATATTTACATAGTCCTCATTGTTTAATATACTGGAATTTAATTTCCAGTAGCCACGCCCCTTATTTCCTCTATCAGTATTGATTTTTAAAGATACTGCATTATGGTCAGTTAGTTTTTGAACAATAGGTCTAATATCACAACTTTTACAATTTTTTAGTACTTCCTTGGAAATCAAGAAATAATCAATCCTGGTGGCCTCTGATCTATCTTTCCTACTCCAAGTAAATTGTTTTAGGTTTTTATTTTTGTTTCTCCAAATATCTATTAATTTACATGATTTTATAAGCCCCTTTAAACTTGTAACTGGTTTATCAAATTTTTTGGAAGATTTAGTTTTATTTTTTGTATCTATCAATGACCAGATGTCGTTGAAATAACCCCCAAGAATTGTTTGACCTAATCCATATTTATTTATATAAGATTTAACTGTTTTGAAGAAACTATTTCTTTCTCTTAATTTATTTGGAGCGTAGATGTTTACTAGCGTGTAGATATTTTCATTGATTTCAATATTAATCAGAATAAATCTCCCTTCAGAATCTTTGTGTTCATCAATAATTTTGAAATTAATTCTATCTTTTATCCATATTGCTACCCCGTGTGAATTACTTGTACCATCACTTCTGAAAAGATTCTCGCCAAATTCTTTATTCAATGTATTTTGCATTAAATTGATAAAATGAGTTTCTTGAATGAATATTACATCACATTTTTGCTGATTTGCCCAACTTACTATTTTATTTATTTTTTCAGGTTGCTGTAGGCCATTAGCATTGACCGTGCATATATGCAGATAATTTCTCATGGTGGTTTATAGTTGGATATTTTAAATTTCATACATGGTGAGTAACATTTTTTTACATTAATAATAACACATTCTATATATTTGTTCTTTGATATTATTTTTTTATTACTTTTGACTGCCTTAAAACTAAATTCGTTTAGTCCTGCTTCTTCACAAGAATAATTTAGAAGACTGTTTATATACTGATGAAACGTTTGTTTCACCTTAGTATTGACATTATACGCTTCACTGATTTCTATTAACTTTTCGAATCGTTGGTATTTAAATTTTGAATTTACATCAATCACGTCAATAACTAAGATTGTTATCACCAGTAATACCGCTTTGTTCACGTTATTCTCTATTTTTATCCTTTGTGTATTCCTGGTTGATATTTTAAGCAGTTCATTTTCCCATGTTTTAACGTATTTAACATGTATTATTTTATCGATCTTCTCTAGCATTAGTTTTGATAACCTATGATCATGCTGATTATTTTTATCACTTTTATGGTGTTTATTTTGTATAAAAAATAGACTTCCGTGTTCCAGGTACACTCGATCTCTAGTTTCAATTTCGTTCGCTCTATATCTTGACCTCATCGTATTAATAGACTTTTTGGTCAAGGTTTTTTCGGAAGACTTTTTAAATAGGATTAATTGTTTTTCCATTTCAGGATATTTTTTATCAAATGATAAAGACATTAATTTGATTGTATTGTAACTTAACCTACATATTCTCAACCACGTGCCTGTGTTCATAAACATAAGCACATGTTGACTCAATTTATGTTTACGTGTTAGTTTGTTATTTACACGTGCACGACGCTTTATGTTTGGCTGTAAAGGTGTATACAACCACACACTTAATACAGTAAAATACAATATATACCATAAAAACATTTTGTATTCTATAATGTCTATATTACTGTTGTTAAATTTGTTTTCAACTTTTATTTTATTTAGCATGTTTAACTTAGCGCTATGGTTTACATCTTCTATAAAGATAATTGTAATAGCAAGGTATAGCTTTATACATATTTTAGACATCAGTGTTATTAAACAAATAACTACCTTTACACAACATACTATGTTTTTAACTAGACTCTCAGAATAAAAGTTCTTTGCTATATTATTACATACATGTACATTAATATAAATATGTATGAATCAAAGTACATTAATGTACATGTATGACTTAAAATCTCAGCATTCAAAACTAACATCGAAGATAAATACTCTCCTAAAACAACTGAAACAGCAAACTGAAAAGATAAGCCAATTGCAGAACCAGTTTTCCAAAATAACACAATGTGCAACTGAGCTACAAATGTATGTTAGTCTGAGAGAAATAGAGAAAACTACATCTCAAGCAGCTCAATACATAGAAGATTTACAAAATGGAGATAACTTCGATGAAAAATATCTAGAGGTTACTATCTCATCTGAACTTCAATCAATTTTAAAAGATGTGAAATCATTTGGAGATATTAATACCAATTCAAGACCCTCTACTCTTCAAGTTAAGGCTGGAAGAAAATATCAAGCACAGTACCTAGTTCCAACTGTTCCTGGAATTGAGCGAATTAAGCCATCCTTGCTGAGACAACTGACATTTCCAGTTGATATAAAGAATGATGTCATGTTTGCTTGTAGAATTTTACCTGATGGTAAATATTTAGTTTTTAATTCGGACTATGATTATAAATACCTAGCACTGTTTAGTAATGATGGCATCTTCATCAGAAAAGTAGTTACATTCACATCATATCCAAAAGATGTTTGCTATGTCAGAGATAATACAGTGGCTGTCACATTAAAATCAAATAATCAGACAGCACTGGTGGACGTAGAAAAGAACAAAATCATAAAAGTTATTGATCTTTCCCATACCTGTAATGCAGTAGCAAGTGATGGTCAAATATTGGTTGTTAGCGGTTATAAGAATCATATGGAGAAAAGTACAATAGTAAACCTGAATGATGAGTCCCATAAAATCTTAGAAGGTGTTGAGGGAGTTTTTATTGCATTATTCAAAGGAAATATCTATGGTACCATTAATAAGAAAGTCTGCTGCTACAAAAGTACTGGAGAACCTCTCTGGACACTTAACCTCAAAGACATTTATAGTCCATATGGACTTGCACTAGACAAGAATGGTTTTATTTATATAGGTTCTAAAGGAAACAACAAAATGGTGGTAGTATCACCAGATGGTAAAACCTTTAAGACAATACTTTCAGCAGCTGACGAGATCGAATCTCCTCAAGCAATGGACATCAACAGTGAAAGAGGAATAATGATAGTGTCAAGCAGAAGATACATTGATTGTGATGATAGTGATGATGACGATGATCATTTTAATAGTTATGATGATTATGTAAATAAAACGTATCAAACAGCTTTTATTTATAAAATCTGAAATGTGAAATTTTTCATTTTGCAAATAAAAGTCTCAATATCTCTAGTGTTTATTGTTATCACCAGTTAGAAGTCTTTTATTTATAAAGAGTTATACGTCTTCTAGTTCACAAACAATAACCAGTCTTCCCACTTTTGCGTCTCTGATAGACACTTAGTACTCAACCCCCTTTTAAAAACTATAAATTAACATTAAATAAGAGATTTGTTTTTTTATTCAACATCACAACAGCAAAATTAAGTTTAACACAGAAATGTTTAAAATTCATCTATTAGAAATAGTGGAGTGACAAATCAGGAAAAGTCGCTTATTTAAAGAGTTTAATGGACCGAAATACCTCACGCCTGAAAATTCACATGAAGATAGAGTAAACATTATACTTTCATTTTAGCCCTGTCGTAGAGTTTTCCCACGGTGCAGTTTTTTGTAAAATCGCGTTAAAGTGTGATTTTCGGATTTTTTTCTTCTTCATTTTCAAACACAGGAACACTTATAATAAATTCCCGAATGAAGATATCATAAAAAAATTGGTATCAGATGAAAGAGTTATGTATCAGCTTTTATTTGACATCAAACTTTAATATCATATGAACATATAAATTGAGTGAATTGGACGATTTTCAAATGTATGTAACATTGTTTTCAATCTTACCGTCTGTCAAAGTATATTACATTTCTTATATATATCACCAATAGTAAATTTTCACAAAAAATAGTGGAACAACGAATACTTAAGAAGTTTTGATATATAAAAGTTTGATAGAACATACAAATCAACTTTTACAAGCATTTTTATAAAACTCATCACATAGCAGTATTACTACTCAATTTTCACCTCAATAAGTCATGTAACGTTCCCCTTTCCTATTTTTCCCTGTCATATGAAATGCAATAAATTTAATATGCATTTTCTTAAGTTTTATAAAAAAGAATATATATTTGTATTAACAGTTGTGTCTATGCGCTTGAATAAGTACAGATGCTAAGGTTTAATAACTTTTGAGGTGCTTTTATTTTTGTTTTTCGAAAAGACTAATTTTAAACCACATTGGAACACATCCGAAAAATCCCGGAAAATTATTGTCAGTGCTTATTCCATCAAATAAGAACGAGTAAAGTAGCTTAGATCATGTTATTAAGCCTTTACATGTCCAAGAAGAAAACATTTTCATGCATTTGAATTAGTCAAAAAAAACCATGCGTGAAACGATGAATCAACTTTCGTTAAAACGCGCTCCATGGCATTACCATGACTGGTAAAAATGTCTATTCTGGAGACAAAAGTCATACAACAAGCTAAGCAATTAAGGCATGTCGAGTCATTTGAGCGTGCCGATATTGTTTTAAATGACGCAAATTATCAGGCAGGCAATCCAGTGGTGAGTTTACTCTTCATAAATAACTTCAAGGACAAGCCGCTTCAACATTCAGCATGCTTTGTTTTAAAACTACTTGATGAAATTAAAAATAATTTGCTTCTGATGCTTCAAATTGATCGGGGCATGATGTTGCTTTTAAATACTTAAAGAAAGTCTACATGATGATCTGTTTGCAAAAGAAAGAAAAAAACCATTTTCGCTGTGGTATAGTTTGCCAGTTACATATGTTTACAGATTTTGCATTTTGCGAAATTTCAAATTATTTCTATCTTTACAATGTATTCCAACCTCTCTGATAAATATTTTGCCTGGTTAGTAGACGACAATTATTTTCAAATGGATAATGATAACAATGCACTCTCATTTGATACTGAACGGAAATGCATACTTTAGCTAAGTGTGTGATATTCCTTTATGAAAAACCAGTACACCCCTGATCAGATAGATGGTATTGGTATTGTCCGAAGTATTTATGTAAAATGGTACAACAGTTATTGAGATTTGGCCAATGACTGCTTTAAAACCAATTAAAAAAAATATGTGCTATGATTGCCAATTAGACAAATCTCCACAAAGACCAAAAAAATACACATACATTTACAACTACAGGTCACCGTATGGCATTCAACAATAAGCAAAACCCTTACCTCATAGTCAGCAATAAAGGGCCCGAATTGACAAATGTAAAACAATTCAAACGAGAAAAACAACGGCCTAATTAATATACAAAATAATAAACGAACAACAAAAATGTAACAGCAACAAATGACAACCACTGAATAACAGGCTCCTGACTTTGGGCCGCCACATACAGAATGTGGCGAGGTTAAACATGTCAGCGGGCGCGCAACCCTCTCCTTACATCAGACATTGGTGTACTAGTATATAAAAAGAAGATGTGGTTTGAATGCCAATGGAACAACTCTTCACAATAGACCAAATGACACAGATATTCACAACTATAGGTTACCGCACGACCTTCAACAATGAGCAAATCCCATACCAAAAAGTCATCTATTAAAGGCGTCAAAGGGACAATAAGGTTTATTTCAAATGGTGGTAGATCCAAATTGTTCTTCTAGTCATTGAATGCAGATCAATTAGAGATTATAAGAAATGTCTTTGTGCACCTGAAAATAAACATGGGTTGATAAGATTTGTAGGTACATTGTAACTATGCCCTATCACACTACAATGATTGTGATTTGCAAGAAAATGACGAAATATTTCTAGCGGGATCTTTTCAAAATCTATAGACT